GGCCTGTTTCTTAAAAAAACTTAAGTAGAAAATCTTACTTAAGTCAAACTTAAGTCCAAAAAAGTCTTTGTCTTTTTTGACTTAAGTAAGATTTTCTACTTAAGTTTTTTTAAGAAACAGGCCCCAGTTTCCCGATGACTTTTGTTTTAAGACCTTCGAGAAACACCTCTGATCAAACACTTTTATATATTTCTCTACTAGACACTCTGCTCTTTCTAACAAAGAAAAGGATAAAGTCTCTACAATATTCCATCGCCATGCTATATCAAAAACAAAATTAATGCAGACCTTTTACCCCATCCAGAGTGCAAAAGTATTTTCAGATACTTACTTTTGAGTGTTTGATCAGCAACGTATTGTAATTTTTCTTGAGCAACATCTTTAAATTCTTTTCCTTGTTTTAATGCTTCATCAGCATAAATGGTAGCTTTTTCCTTGACGATTTCAGCACCTAAAACGAAGAGTGATAAAAATATAAGTTCAGAAAAGTGTTCTAATCTAAAGGTCCCAATTAATTTTTTTGAAATGTTTAATTGAATAGAGAATGATGAAAGGTCCCATTCTTAATCCCTTTTGGTATCCACAAAACAGAAGATATTTACCAGCTGTTAGATATTCATTGCCAACTTCGGCTGCAACTTGAGCCTTTTCCGAAATTATTCCCGAGGCTTCCAACACTAAAATATTCAAATATATAGAGAGAGTGAATTCACACAAGATAGATAAATAAAAGTAATAATAGCGCTTTAGAAAAAATGAGCATGGCACTGGTAAATAACTCACCTGTCTCTTTTCCAATTTCATAACTTTCTGACGCAACAGGAACAACATATTCCTTTGCCAGTTCTATTACTTTATCACTTCCATCTTTCGCCAATTCTACGATTTTTTCTGCTCCAAGGCTTGCATATTCTTTTCCTGTTTCAGCAGCGGCTTGAGCAGCCGGTACTAAAATGTACAAATACAATATAAATTACTAACTGACTCTCTTACATATGCAAAATACAGTGACCTAGCACTTAGGTCACGTTAAACTAATAATCGATACAAAACAAATAACCTACCAATATTTTCATTGAATACTTCTTTCACCTTTTCAACTCCCGCTGAAGCAGCGTTTTGTCCTGCTGAAGCAACGTTTTGTCCCGCTTCAACGACTTTATCTTTGCCTGAGGCTAAATAATCACCTATGAAGAATAAAAACAAATATTTTTCAAAAAGTTTAACTTCTGGAAATATGTGATTTTAGAACAAATATAATAGAACTAAGGCTTTGATCATGAATGATTTACCTGTCACTTTAGCAGCTTCGGCAGCCTTATCTTTAGCTTGATCAAAAGTATCCGAAGCAACATTGGCACCAGATTTCAATGTATCTGATACAGTTTTAACAACATCGTCTTTGACATTTTTAGTTTTACAATGAATACTTGTGATACATAATAAAAATGTGATTACAATGGATAGTTTGTAATACGACATCATGTTGATTGTTAATAAGTAGGAAAAGCGTTTAAAATCTGAAAATACAAATATCAAACAATAATGTTAGATTTTTATAAGAAAACTGGTGTAAAACACAGTGAACAGTTAATGAATGTAGATTAGAAACTATAAATTCGTTGTAGTTGCAGAAACTATTCTCTCATATTCTCATTTCTTCTGGGTAAAGGCATCATATCTGCAATAAACTCACCTTAAATCAAAATTCTACTTAAATGAAATTAAAAAAAATCAATTTTTTTCTGGTCCAGTGTGTTAAATCTAAATTACATACCGTAGAAAAATTTTTTATCCAGTTTTACATTATTTGCTGCCAGATAAAACTAAATTATTTCAGTTTTTCACAGTAACGTATGGACATACTTCCTTTCGAAATGACGTTCACATAACACTTAAGAGCTACATTAAATCAGTACTACCGTCACCAGTAGAACTTATCTGCAAAATATGATTAGTTCACGTAAATATTTTTCGAGCCATCTGCTTCTGAAAAGATGACCATGGTCACTTGTGTTTATAAACTAATCTCAAACTGAGAATAACAATAAACCACTTGATTATGTTGTACTTCCATCAAACTTTATTTAAAAAACAATAAAAACAAAAAAATATCAATATAGATTAAAAACAAACGAAAGAGAAATACATTGTACACCACCTTAGTTGAACAACTTAGGTTCTTTACCGAGTAAATAAGTATGTCTACTCCTTTATATCGGAAAAATACTTTTTTTGTTCAAAATAATCAAACAATACTCTAGCCTATCAAATTTTTTGACTGTAAGTAAAAAAAAGCGATAAAAAAAAGGATCGAGTATTTTTCGTCGAAGATGAGAGAAAAACGAGGAGATATGCTTTCATAGACACGGCAGCCACGATTAAATCTAAACTACGCTTTAATTTGGCTGTACTTCAGAGCACACATCTCTAAGCTTTAAAACTCTCAAGGTCTTGAATCCA